TTCAATTGTAGCATGACCGAGACCACCACAGTTAGCACACTTTTCCCCAGCCTTCTTACACTCAAAAGATTTGTGCCCCTCTTCGCCGCACCTATAGCACTTAACGGGACCAGAACTCCCTCCTCCGGATTTCTTGACAAAGTGTTCCCTATGCTTCCCTTTATCAGCAGGCGTCACATAAGGCCCACTCCTTACTGGTTGCTTCCCTCGCCTCTCATTCAAACTCTTATAGTGAGTAGAACGAGCCCTACTATCCTCTTCGAAAATTCTACAACATTCGGTTAAGTCCGAAAATCTTCGAATCCTCTGATACCCCACAGCTTGCTTAATCTCCGGGCGCAAGCCGTTCTCGTACTTAATACACTTGGAAAATTCCGCCGCCACCGCATCATAGTGAGGATGGAATTTCACCAACTCCGTAAACTTAGCCGTGTAGTCGACCACAGACATGTTCCCTTGTTTCAATTCTAGAAACTCCATCTCCTTCTTTCCCTTCACACTCTCCGGATAATACTTCCTCAAAAATTCAGTGCGGAACAAATCCCAAGTTATTTCCTCATCATCAACCCCAAGAATTTGTCTTATGCCGACCCACCAGTCATCAGCTTCTTCTCTCAGCATGTGAGACCCAAGTCTCACCTTGTTCCTCTCAGCGCAATTCATAACTCTGAAGATCCTCTCGACCTCTTTCAGCCAAATCTGAGCACCGTCCGGATCAAACCTTCCTTTGAACACCGGCGGTTGATTCTTTCTAAACTCATCGTTAGCATTCACATTCGGCGCACCCTGCACCGCTCGAGCCATAGCTTCCAATGCCGCAGCCATTGCGTTGTCATTACGACCAGCCATATTCTGATTATTCCCAAAAATAACAACAGGGTCAAACAACCGTTCGACCAACAAAACAGCGAGACAGATACAACTGACTCAACACTGGGCTCTGATACCACTTAATGTAACACCCCCTTTCTATGCCCCCAAATAATACAATTAATCATTTAGGCATAAATTTAAAATTTCATCAGAGTACATTTGCAACATGGCATAAAAAGGAAATATCACATTATCATAAAAATTCCAACACATACAGCACCTGCTCAACAGATATGCAACAACGGGATAACACCCACAAGAAATATTTAGAACCAAGGCGGAAATATCCAAATATTTCATAATTCACCAAACATGTATTCACATACACAGTTATCATTCATCATGTTTTACAAAACATATCAACAGCAGATACATGCTCAGATGTATCACAAGAGAATCAAAATAAATCCTATTCTACCCGGTGCTACATATCAGAGTCGACCGACCAAAAAGGGAAGAAGCCACGCTTCACAAAATACCTCCAGCAATCTAGTCTGCAATGCCTCATAGAGCATTAAAAGAAACAACAGAAGGGTGAGAAACGATATCATAACAACAATGCATAAAAACATATATATATATATATATATATATATGCATAATACCCAATATACGTCTTTCGCATTCTCACCGCAACTCACCTCGTCATACCGTACATCACAATGTATTCACATTATCTATTTACAAATAGAACATCATGCATATACAATATGCGTCAACAATGTTTATATCGGTTCATGAACACACAAAACATACATATTCATATATTCACACATACATGTGTCTTCAAGCATACCAATCATGCCAATCATCAACAATTCATATAAACATTCACAATTATGTTCATTCACCATACACCATGCAGGATGTCAACATGCAACTCATAAAGACCGACACACGACTCTATGCAGATGCAAATGCGGTACCGACTCATTTCAGCAGGTTCAATTGAAGAACCAAATAACCATCGCTCACACCCCACATGGGCACACGAGGTTCTGCATATTCTACGCGGAATCAAAATAACCATCGTAATATACGAGGTTCTGCAAATCCACCGAGGGATCAATAATTAACCATCGTTCACACCCCACAAGGGCACACGAGGTTCTGCAGATTCACCGAGGAATCAATAATTAACCATCGCTCACACCCCACAAGGGCACACGAGGTTCTGCAGATTCACCGAGGAATCAATCGACACAAGAATGCATACCATGATGCTTCACATGCAACATGACTCATGACACTCTTGAAATGCACACATGCTTACAAACCTACTCATGCATTCTACACATTCATACAAACATCATAGATTTTTAATCAGGCTAAACAATGCACATAATTGCCCAAGCGGCCACAATTCATAATCTAGGATTCACGCCATACGGCTACCCACAGCACAACACAACCCAGCATATAAACTACTAAATCAAAGAAGGGTCGATCGCAACCGAAACCCCAAGCCACGACAGCCCCCAGCAACAGGGAAATCCATCCTGATACGTTTGCTACACGCTCGCCTAGCGAGCTGCTAGCGAGCGTTCGCTACCTCCTCGCCTAGCGAACTGCTAGCGAGCCAGCACAGAGGCTACAGACCTCGTTCGCTACACCGTTCGCCATAGCGAACCTCCAGCGAGCTCCTCGCTACTCCCTTTGCTGCCAGCGAGGGACATTAAAATCATTCTGTCCCAAGTCTGGGACCGTTCGCTGCGCACTCGCCTAGCAAACTACCAGCGACCATTCGCGACCTGCTCGCCTAGCGAACTGCTAGCGAGCGTCTGCGATTTCCACTTCTCCCCGCTATTCAGAATCTAAAACCACCGATAAAACCACCCGATGAACCCCAACTCATATCCCGCAGCCTTAGTCTAACATATATCGACTAATCTACGTCATCTAATCACGATTCTAACCGTTAGACAACGATTTCTATCGATTAAACCAAATCCAACCTAAAATGGAAAGTGTAGAAAAACTACCAACAATCCAAAACAATCCAACAAAATCATACATGATTATACACATTGATAGAATAATAAAGTTTCACACCCTTACCCGAACAATCGAAAGCTTTGGTGATGATTTCTTGAAGTTCTAGGTTTTTCCTCTTCTTTCTCTCCTCTTTCTCTTCTCTTCCTTTCTTTCCGTTGTTTTTCTATCTCCCCTCCTAACTTTCTCTTTTTCTCTCATATACTCATATTCTCTTTTCTTTCCTCTCAAATTCTTTCCACACACTAATTAATCAATTCTCATAAAATATCTACTTAACATAATTACTAATGCCCAAAATACCCTCCGGTCTATCTTTTTACCCGAAACTCTCAAAGTAGGCAAAAATAGCACAATATGCACAAATAACATATTAACACACAATTCCACATTTAAAATAATAATTCAATTAATTAAATCAGAAAGGACTCAAAATAAAGGGAATTCAGAATCGGGGCGTTACACAAGCAGGTTACACAAGCGTTACTATTTTCTAAAATAGTTGTGATATAAGAAGATTCATTATAGGTTCAAGTCATCATTTACCACATGAAAAGGGTAAAGCATTCGAAAAGGGTACATAATTGTTTCTATGATTATATTTTTTCACATTAGTTTAACTAAGATTTTCAATCATCGCACAACCAACTCAATTGCACCACATGCACCCCCATTTACATTATGTTTTTCACGTTTATGATAACAAGTATAGTTTATGCAATCTAGTCAAAATAAAATAATTCACGTGGATACAACATAAAAATTACTCACCACTTATGGTTGTTATTGGCACAATTTATACTACAAACTGGTTTTCAAAGCAATAGTTTGCAACAGTTTGCTCCACACAAGAAAATGATACTGAAGTTGGAATTGTCAAACAATAGGGCATTCGAACGTAACATTCATGTTGTCAAGAAGGTGTGTATGTATAACATTGATAAATCTGAGTGGCGGAATCATTTAAATTTTAAAATTCTTAGTGATTCAAGTTCTAAGAATTTAGTATATGGTATGCCTAAACTTAATGCAAGCACAATGACATGTGAAACGTGTTTGAGAGGCAAGCAAAGCAAATTGTTTTTTTTTTTGCATTTGACATGCATAAAAGGTCAAATGAAACACTAGATGTTATTCATTATTATATATGAGGCTCTTTTTAAGTATCATCACTAGGTGAAAGCGAGTATTTCATCATTTTTGCTGATAAACAAATAAGAATGTTGTGGTTGTATGTATACCATCAAAATCAAAAGAAAGGCTATTGAAGTGTTCTAGAAGTTCAAAACATTGATTAAGAAGGAGAATGGAAAAACAATAAAGATTTTGAAAAATGATGGTGGTGGAGAGTATACCTCAAAGCAATTTGAGTCATTTTGCATCATTGGAGGCATAAGACATGAAGTTACCCTAACCCTATACTCCTTATAATGATCTAGCAAAAAGAAGAAATAAAACCATACTTGACATGGCCACAAGTATGCATAAGAACAAGAACATGCCTCATATGTTTTGGGGAGAAGTAGTCAATATAACCACATATATACTAAATAAGCAATTATTGATAGTGGAGTTGTTCTTTCCCAGCACAACTTTAATTAAGCAATTCATTCTATCAGTGTTTTATCTTCCATCTTTAGTGCTAAGCCATCCTCTTTCATCTATAGTTTTATGTCCGGTGCTTTTTATCTTCCTTGAATTTATCGAAGCTTTGGCCATAGCAGCCATGACAACCACTTATTTCCGCTTCTTATGTTTTCTTGTCCATTTGTAGGGAAGGAGAGGGATAAACAGGTAGTTCCAATTGGGCATTCAGGCTATATTAAGCTTAAGGTTCCATTTTCTAAGAGTTGTAATTTCGAATTCCTTATTTGGCAACACATGCCCAATCAAAATCCTAATAGACTCTATTAGCAATATAAGATATTTGACTCTCCTGAATTGTATGATATTCAAACAACAAAGTATTTCAAGAAACACCACTTCAAAAACCCAAAAATAAAAAACAGCTAATCCAAATGGAATGTAGAAATCAAAAAGATCCAAAGGCAATGTATAAAACTATGGATTCTCTCCAAAACTACAAGATATGAAAATAATAAACCATGGTCAACTCCTAGACGAACCTTCAGGCTTTAGCTTGCTCCAACTGGTGGAAGCTCGCCGAATTTCAATACATAGGCCACTTCATGAACAGGGCGCAATTGCTGAATAACATGAGCATCCAAGTACGCGTCACATGAGAAGCACCATACCGACAGATCACTGTTTGACAAAATGACTGAATGAAAAAAGCAGCACAAAACAATTTGGGGGGTCAAAATCAAAGGGCACACAGTAAATAGAAGCATCAAGATTCATGAGTACCTGAAACTGAGGGCCACGCTATGATTAGTTTCGCGAAAATGGTGGAGCATATGTCTGTTCACAAAACGGCCACAGAGCACGTCTTTACATGACAAACACAGCCAGTTTTCATTCGGATGATGGCACCTGAAAAAAATTCAAAAAACGTTTTGATTCATTGTGCTTTAAACATGTAATCTTTTGATCAATCCGATATTAATTAAGCAGAAATATGCAAAGTTAGGGCAAAAATGATGAAATTGGGAGAATAATGAAGTAATAGGGGAAAAAGCTAACCTGTTGCAGGGAGTATTAGGGGTTGGAATGTGGGCGAGATCAGTGGATAAGGAATGGAGATGGTGGCATGAAGTTCTAGCATCGACCCAACCAGATTCAGAGCCATGGATCAAGTCGTAATCCTCTTCCGATAAACCTTCCTGATCATGGCACACAAGTATATAGTTAGATATTTGTGTGAGTGAAAATTCAGAACAAGAGAAGAAGAAGAAGAAAAGTGAGAATGTTTGAGTGAGAGAAGAAGGTTATTACTGGTTGAGAAGAAGATGAAGCCATGGAGCATACTATACGAAGCTTCGCTAACTTTCCAGTGCGCACAGACAGGCTTAGCGTTCCAAGATTGAAAAATTAAACAAAAAAAGTGTGTTATAATATTATTGTTGTTATAATAATAATATTATTAATTAAAAATATCTATCTTAATAAAAATCACTCATGTATATTTGTCTAAATTCAAATAGTAAGTTTGATTATTACTTTATCGTAATAATTGTATTTTAAATAGTATAAATATTATTTTTGAGTAATGCAAAAACACACAAATTTTACATTGAAAAAACATAATTAAAATATTTTAGTCTCATCAATGATATTTACAACTAAATTAGTAACTTATATTATTATATTAGTTCATAAATATTATTATAGGAAAATTCAAAATCGGTTTTTCTCAACATGTTATCAGCACAATCATTTCTATCGGAAATTGATCTGACTTGATCAGAAGGGGATCATGGGCCGGCCACACTCTATTGGACTGCTACGTGCTCACCGGTGCTGAGGAGCAAAAAGAGGGGGTATACCTGCAAAACACTCCGATGCCAAAGTAAGGAATTGGGCAGAGTGAGAGCAAAGTATAGAAATTGGGCAAGAAGTGAAATTACCCGACCCTCTTGGGGAAGAGGGTATTTATAGAGAGACCCCAGCGCTGGGCCAACGGTCATTTGAGGTGGGCTGGATGACCAGGCCCAACCCTAATGACTGCTAGGGCTTACGTGGCGTAGTGAAGACCAGAACGTGGTCTTCGCCCTAGTCCAACTATCCCGTGGTCTCCGGAAAGTGGGTTTGACCTGCTCTTTCGGAGGTGGGCAGTTGGGAGCTGACGTGTCCCCGCGGAGGGGTGCACGTAGAGAACGTGCGCCGGGCACGTTGTTCTCCTCGCGGAGGGGAGCTCGCTAGGTTGGGGAGGAACCAAGGTCGCGCTTTGATGCGCCGAGGTGTGTCCTGTTCGGCTGATAAGAGGGGACGGCGAGCTGCTGTTGGACGCGCTGCTTGTGTCCAGTGGCGCGTTCTGCTCGTCCTGCGGGACGCGCGTGCCCGGCGTGCCCGATTCGCTTATTGGGCCGTACGTGGTATTGGGCCTGTCGAGGTCAGGCCCAGACCGGAACAGGAGCCCCCCAAGTCGAAGCTCTGGGGAAAGAGCGAGGACTTAAGGTCGCTGTGTCGGGGAGAGAGGTAGCGGAACAGGAGGTTCGTCGGGATTCGCGCGTGGCGGAACGGGCGCTCGCGCGGGGATTCCCGGTCGTCGGCGGAGCGGGGTGAAAGCAGGTGAAGGGGCGCGACTGTCAGGTTGCCGCCACGTGTCGTGCGTTAAGCGGTCGTAGGGGCGGCTACCCTATGTCATTAATGAGCCTAGCGTCGCTTCAAATCCCGCACCGGGTTATAAATACGGGGGTCCCCGCTCATTTTACTACTTTTCACTCTGCTGTTTTACCTGCGAAGCTCTGAGATCTTTGCTCGTCCGCCGTTGCCGCATATCGCCGCCGCACCGTTTGGTTCTTCCTCCCGTTCGCCGCTGTTACAAGTGAGTTCTCTTTTCTCTTCCCTTTTATTTCCGCCGTTTGATTAGAATATGTGGTCGGGGCATGATGAATGCCCCGAGGAGGGACGCAAGATCCGCCGTATCTGGCGATTTTTCTGGTGAATGTCCCGGGGAGAATCGGTTGTTCCGATGAATGTCCCGAGGACGAGGGCTTTCTCCGATGAATGTCCCGAGGACGGGTGCTTTGTCCGATGAATGCCCCAGGGATGCGCGCTTTTTTCGGTGACCGTCCCGCAGAGGGATGGTGGGTCGGCTTTGGACGCCCCGAGGAGGGTCGACGGGGAGCGCGTGTTTGCTCTCCGTTCTCTGGCCTTTGTCGCCCTTTCACTTGACCTGCGGTGGAAGGGTGGATTTGATCCTGGCTATCGAATTCACCGTTGTCCTCTGCTTTTCAGGTGTAGTTTTCGGCTTTGGTACCGGGGACGATGGTCGAAGACAACGAACCCGAGGTCCCGGACTTTGACGACGAGCGCATCGCCCCGTCCGAAGAATGGGCGGCTGAAGAGCCGTTGTCTACCCCGTCTTGTTTTGTGGCCGATGCGTCTGACGTGTATGCCACCGTCGAGGATACGCCCATCGGGAAGCCTTAGCATTGGCAGGTGTACCGTCCGAAGGAGCACCATCGCATCTGCTCGCGATATGGGCGGCGGATGTTTCCCATGCACGAGTTCTACTTCAAAGAGGCTCGGCTCAGGTTACCGTTCTCCGCCTTTCATCTGGGGCTTTTCGATTGGTTGCGCTTGGCCCCGTCCCAACTGCACCCCAACGCCTTGGCTTTCATCCGTGCCTTCGAGGTGGTGTGCTTCTACCTCGCGGTGGAGCCCACGGTACCGTTGTTTTTCCGTATCTTCCACTTACAGCGCCAGTCGGTGAATGGCTGCCACAGATGGGTCTCATTTAAACAGTCGACCAAGCTCTTCAAGGCGTATAGTGATTCCGTCAAGGATTTCAAAAGTCGGTTCTACCTCGTTAAACCGATCACGCAGCAGGGCTCGGATACTCTCTTCGTCGAGGGCGAGCGAATGGTAGACGGCCAGCGGTTCCTCGCGTGGCTTCCCAAGATACATCTATTGTGGACCGCGGAGCATTTCAACCGAGGTACGGATAGGTATATCGTACGGGCGGGGACCCTCGACGAGAGAGATATGGCCGCTTATTTGAAAATAGTCGCCTTTGTGCGGGCCCTTCCTTCGTCGAAGCTGGTGACGCTTGATGGTCGGTACATCCTCGACGCGCAGGGGAACGTGCGAACCAAAAAGCGGCTGATTAATACTAAGACCCTGCTCGGTTGCGCCACCGGGGCGGCCGCTTTGGATTATCTAGGTAGGGATGTTTCTTTTCTCCCCGTGTTCGGGTGTTCTGGCCGTTGCTAACTCTTTCTTTGTTTTTGCAGCGAACATGTCTTCTGTTGAGGAGCGGGTGAAGCAGTTGCGCGCTACCAGGAATGCCGCGGTCCCGAGGACGCGGGTGAGTCAGTTGGTCGGACAGGAGGTTGCGACGCCGGGAGGGAAGAGTTTGTCTTCCTCGCCTCAAGAGAGTCAGTCTCCCTCGTCTCAGGGAGCAGCGAAAAGGCCGAGATCCAAGGAGCCCCGTGGTTTAGTAGATCTGACGGTCGGCTCGGGCGATGAAGGTTACGTCTTCCCGCCTTGCCATCAGCATCCAGGCTATTTTCATGGTGCTCGTTCTCCTACCGTCTCCGCTGGGGAGGTGAAGGCTGTCCGTCAGGCTGATCGAGAGTCTCGTCGACGTGTCCTGGCGGAGGATTTGGCTGCAATGATACGGACGTTCACGACGGCTCTTGTGCTGAACGAGGAGGGTTGTTCCGCTGCCGAGTTGTCCAAATTGCAGGGAGACCTTACCTTTATGCAGTCGCGGTTGGCCAAGCTTACTGAGGAATTGGAGAAGAGTCAGAAGGATGTCGCTGAGCAGCGCAAACGGGCAGAGGGCGCTGAGGGGAAGGTGACCTCGCTGGAGGAGAAGTTGGGGGAGGCAACGGCCGAGGTGCAGGCGCTGAAAGTCCGTATGGAAGTTTTGGATAGTGCGCTTCGTCCGGCCGAGGACGAGACAGAGGGGGATCAACGATTAATCACCCGTGCTGATCTGGTTGCCCGTATCCGGGTGTTGGAAGGTGATTGTTTGGATGCTGTCGAGGTCGGGTTCAAGAACGCTGTAGAGTAGATCCAGGTCGTCAACCCCGGCGTCGCGCTGGTCGTGGATGGGATTGGGCCGTATCACGAGATTGTTGATGGGAAGGTGGTCGACCCTTACCTTGTTGTCCCCGCGGAGGTCCCCATGGTTGCTGACCAGGAGGGTGAAGTAGTCTAGATTTGCCGGGCCTGCGTGCCCGTTGTTTTTATGGCCTGCGTGCCGATATTTGTAACCTGTCTTTCTTTGGGCCTGCGTGCTCTGTTTGTGTAACATTAACTACTGGGCTGGTGCCCGCTTTTTGCTTAATATATTTTTTGTGAATTTTCTAAGTGTGCGCTCGGTATTTGCATGATGTTTATGCTCGTTTTTCGTATTTATTTGTTTACTTGAATGCTTTTGACGTGCATGCCTCGATATGCTCTGGGTCTGTTCGGGTGTTAGCTCGACAAACTTGTTACCGGTGGTGAAGGGAACCGGCCGGTTTGGCCGGCGACGTAGCCGGGCCGTTTCGGGGGTAGTTCTCCCCGTGGCGTGGACGTCCCATCGCGAGCTGGGTGTCCTGCCGATTTTGGTATGGCGGCGGGGGATCTCGGTCGAGGTGTTCCTTGCCGAGCAAGGCCGTCTGCCCGCGCACACAAGAGGCAGGGCTTGCTTTTCTTTGGTCGCTAGTGGACGCGGGGGTGTGCGGTGGTACCATGTCTCCCCCCAGTGGTCGGGACGATGGGTCGTCGCGGGAAGTGTTCTAATTGTAGTACCGCTTAAGCTTCGCGGCGTTCCAAGGTCGAGCTAGATGTTCACCGTGCAGGTTTTCGAGGTAATAGGCCCCGTGCTCCGTTTTGTCCCGGACTCGGTAAGGGCCTTCCCAATTCGCAGCCAGTTTGCCCTCGTGGGAGTCTTTCTGGTTTCTGCGTAGGACTAAGTCGCCTGTTTGAAAGTCGCGTTTTAGGACTTTGTTGTTGTGGCGAAGTGTGACTTGTTGCTTCAGCCGGGTTTCACGGAGGGCTGCCCCTGACCGGATTTCTTCGATGAGGTCGAGCTCTTCTCGGAGGGCGCCGTCGTTGTCGTCGGTGCCCAGGGGAGCTTCCGTTCGTCGGGATGGTTCGCGTATTTCGACGGGTATCACGGCCTCGGTTCCGTACGTGAGGCGAAATGGGGTTTCCCCCGTGGTTGAGTGGGAAGTGGTGCGGTATGCCCAGAGGACGCTGTGGAGCTCTTCGACCCATGCTCGTTTGGCGTCGCCGAGTCGTCGTCTGAGTCCCCTGAGTATGACTCTGTTCGCCAATTCCTCCTGGCCGTTTGTTTGAGG